AATATTATCCAAACTCCAGATATAATAGCCAAAGAAGGATCAAGGCAATCAGAGTTTCTAACATTTATTTAAAACTATTCTTAGAAGAGAAAGGAAACTAGGCTCAAAATAAGTATGTCTAATATAACAGAAAGGTCACAATAAACAGTGAAAACTACTACTTTCAGAACTGATGCTGCCTTGTGACAGGCCTGGGGGCTTCCACAGGAAGGAAAAAACACTAGATTGGATTGCCATTAGTTTGCTGAAACTACTCCTACCAGGCGCCATTCTTTATGAAAAAAACACAGAGGCCTCTCCTGTGGCACAGAGGATTGAGTGCAGCACTGTGAAGCTGTCCGCAGCCTCTGCAGCGTGGGTTCAATTCCCAACTGGCCAGGGAGATACCCACATGGCGCAGCAGACCTCTCCTGCTTCGCCCACTGCTCCCCTCAGCAGTTTCTTCAGTCCGACTGCTTGTTCTGCTCCCCACTCTGTCTCTGGTGAATCCTCTCACCCTCTCGCGCTTCTGGCCTGTACCCCAGTTCTTATATATAAAAAAAAAATAAATCTTTTTAAAAAATTAAAAGAAAAAAAACATGGCCCATTCTGATCTTAGTTAAAAACTCAGAAGGAAGGGCTTCCCTGGTGGGGCAAGGAGTAAAGTCTCAGCACTATGACGCTATCAGCAGCCACTTCAGCATTGAGTTCAATTCCAGCCAGGAAGCCAACCCACATGGTGCAGCAGACCTCTCCTGTCTCACCCGCTGCTCTCCTCAGCAGTATATTTCAGTAGATCCACCTGTTCTTCTCCCCACTCACTCCTCCCCACCCCACCCCCACCCTGCACCTCTGGCCTACACCCCAGTTCTTATATGCATAAATAAAATAAATCTTAAAAAAAAAAAACAACTCAGAAGGCTCCCCTATATTTCTTCTACTTCCGATGCTCAGAGAGCATGTCTTTTTCTAGTGCCTGCTATTTACTGGCATGTCCTAAAGACACAGTTAGAGTCTGAAACAGTGCAAACAAATACACCAGTGGTTCCACCACTGCTGGGCCTACAAGCTTAAGCTCCTCATTCCAATCACTCTGTCCTTTGCTTTCTACACTCCAGCTGCGGTGACCTCTACCATCATGCTTTTTTTTTTTTTTTTTTAAGATTTATTTATTTATACAAGAACTGGGGTACAGGTCAGAGGCGTGGGAAGGTGAGAGAATTCACCAGAGTGGGGAGCAGAACAGGCAGATGGACCAAAGACACTGCTGAAGGGAGCAGCGGGTGCGAACAGGAGAGGTCTGCTGCGCCATGTGGGTTTCGCCCTGGCCAGCTGGGAATCGAACCCACACTGCAGAGGCTGCGGACAGCTTTACAGTGCAGTGCTCAACCTGCTGCGCCACCGGGGAGGCCCATCTACCATCATTCTTAAACAAGTAAATTTGTTCCCACCTCAGGACCTTTGCCCTGTCCCTCTTCCTAGAACATATTACCCCCAATTCTTTATATTGCAAGCAAAGAGGGAAAACAGAGGGGGTCAGAGAAAAAAACAAACTCCCTCGGGAAAGTCAGAGATCCAGGAGTTGAGGGTACCAACGTTCCTTCCTCAGAAGAAAATGAAGGTGGTCAGTCTGAGGTCAAAGTTGACATTCAGGAGGCTAGCTTTATAACAACAAGATGACCATGAAGCAAGTTCCAGAAGAAACTAAGTATGTCATGTTATCTAGCTGCAAATCTTGATCCTAGTGACATGACATGCCATGTAAAACAGACAAGAATAAAATGAAGAAAAGAAGACTTATAGGTTCTAAAAAGATGTGAGCATCAAGTCAGTCAGTATATGTCCAGGACTAACTTAAACCAGAACATCTAAAAAAAAAAAAAAAAATACACACACACACACACACATACACAAAACCAAAGCACCTCAAATGTTTCCACTGAGGGGTCCTAAATCCCCACAGAAAATGTTCTTATTCCTTTGGGGCTCTTAGGGCATCATCCAAAGTACTCAAATTTGACTCTAAACTTTATTTGAAAAAGTCTTATTTTATCTCTAAAATGTGCATAAATTCTGATTTCTATGTTCTAATTCTCACTACAATTTTTTTAATTCTCACCAGTTAAAGTACCGAATCCCCCAACCCCTGATACTACTCCCCCAATCTTCTGAAAAAACTGACACTCCAACACTGCCATGTTCATCCCAAAACTCTTTAAGCTCCCAGTACTCCCACCACAACCTGAGGAACTAAGTTTGGAAATAATATCCTTTGGCAAGCAATCATTCTTAAAATTATCAATAAACTCTTTAAGTCTGAAATTTCTGGGTGGGACATTGTTTTTTGTTTTTGTTTTTTTTCCATAAAATTCCTTAAGAAAAAAACCTACTCTAGCTTAGCTGAATGAGGCTGTTCACAACCAGACAGCCTGACTGAGCAGAATGCTCTCAGAAGGAAAGGATAAAGAAGGACCCAGGATCCTTGCTGGAGAACCAGGCAAAGACCTGAGAAAAGGCACAAGAAGTAAAAATGCCAGAGGAAAAGAAGTGGGGCATTTGACTTTTCCTTGCAATGTAAGAAAAAAGTGTAGCCTAAAAGAAGTACAAGAGGCGGAGGAAGGGGAGAGAGGATCTCATTATTAACCGAGGTTTACTATATACCTGGGGAACAACTGAAACTGAAGTGAAATCAGGAACTGGAACCATTAAACCACATGAATGTTAATAGGAAACATATGAAGTTCTTGTTAAATGAACATGTTAAATTCCAAGCATCGCCCCTAAAACATCCCAACCTTTAGTGCATACTTAGACCCAGGTTTCCTGCTGTTTTTCTCACGTTTTCCTACTTAAGAAGAAAACTGTCTTGGGGAAATGATACTAGGATTTTTGCTGTTTGTACAAACAGACAAACACTTGGAAATATCTCTTTGTTTAACATTCTCTATCACCTACAACTGCCAAGGCCATGAAAGGAAGAATCTACTGGAGGTTTAAAGAGAACAGTGACAGCGAGGAAAACAAATGTGCAAATGAACCAACAAAGCACAGAAAAGTTTCTTTATAAAACCATGAAAACATAAGACTCAAACTGACACACATCATCCATGACACATTTTTACATTCACTAGAACAGACATTAAGGAGCAACTGAAAAACTTTTTAGTAAAGGCTAGATTATTCTAGGATTTCCCCTCACGTAAATATTTCAAAGTATGTTATCTGGAGCAAGAGATTGGACATGAAGCTGAAGCTAGAAAAAAACACTGAGCCGGAAAAAACACTGCATAATGAAAGTCAATTCACAGGCACCAGGCTTTAAATTTCTCTCTCCTAATACTCCCAAAGATGCTGACACCTAACTTTTCCCACAATTCCAAAAGAATATAGAAAGCACAAATATTAAGAGAAAACAAAAAACAGGGCAGAGGGGGCCAGGAAACCAAACCCAAAACATCTCACAATGGGTCATGGGGAAGTTCCCTTGAAAACAGTCCTTGACATCCCAATAGCCAAAGTCCCCACTTTCGATCAAAATCAGAATGGCAGGTATTAGTCTAGCCAACATTTAAAAAGGTCAGTATCAAGGTGAAGACAATGCCCCTACTTAATGCTGCTAGGCTAAAAATATCTTTAACTTTAACATTCACTTTCTACCTTCTCCTTCTCAACTTTGTAAAGGTTTCACCATCCTTCCAGGCTTTACCTATTTCAAATCTCTTCAACCTTCCCCCACATATCCAAAAAGTCACCAAGACCTGTAGTTCCCACTGTAACAAATATGACCATTTATTTCTCCTGTGCAGGTCAAATGACCCAAGCAGTAGAAATCTCTGTTAACTCCTCCCATAAAGTTCTACCACAGACCTAATTGAGCATCTCTACATAGAGGTCATCTGTCTGTACACTGCCAGAATAACATTCCTAAAATCAAAGGCCTAATGAATGTGCTTCAGCAAAAACTTCCATCAGTTCCATGCTGCCCATAAAACAAATGTTAATTCTAACCTGACCACAAGCCATCACTCCAGTCTCACTGTGGTCGTTCCTCTCGTGTATCCAATGCTGTACCAAACAAGCTAACACATCATTCTCTAGCATACTTTCCCTTCCACTCTGCCTTTATTCAAGCTATTACTTCTAACTGCCCTCTCATCTCTGCTCAACAATATCATCAATCTCATCGTTCTAACATGCTCAGATGTTGAATATGTCCTACTGAAGGAGGAGAGACTATGATGTAGGGCACCAACAATATCTGAAACAGATCTTAGTGCTAGAAATGCAGGTGGAATTTGAATCCAGTACCTTCTAATACTGAAGTAGAATGTCATTGCCACACACCATGTGCCACCTGGAAGTTGGGACATTTACCTGTAATTCTAGAATTATTGCTACTGGATACTTAATTGGGCAAGCTTACAGTTAAAATTTCTAGTATCTGGACCTCAGCTTTTTTACCTCTAAAATAGGGATACTGACTAGTTCATTATTTCCCAATGTGTTCAATGGTAATACTGAAGAATGTCAATTAATAAAGAAATAACTTCTTCCCTCAAAATAAACTAAGAAAGAAAGCAAACACATGATAGGTGAGGGAATGACATGAACATACAGTCTCAGAAGCAAACTGGGTTTGAAAACGGAGCACCACCTTGAAAACCAAGGGCCCAGTTTTTCCACTTTCTTGTTAAACTCAGGAAGCATTTACTTTTGGAGCCTTGGTTTCCTACAAAGCCTTACGAGGGGCATCTCCATCCACTCTCAAATATCTGAGATGAGTCTGCCCACCTGTCAAGGATGAGCTAAACACTACAGGTCCTTCCAATACCAGCTGGAGGTTCATGCAGAAAAAGAACAGTTCATTTCCTGATAAGGAGCGTGTGAGTTCACTGTTGTGCTCCAGGTCTCTGACGTCTCCTGATGGATGACCTAAGAAATCCAACTGGAAATAGCTACTCTCCAAGCAAAAATTCCATTAGATGATAAGGCCACCTCTGTCATCTACCAGAATCACTCACCATCCAGCAGGTCTTCCTCATCATCCCTGTCATGATCCTCCACTGCCACCTCCTCCTCCTCCTCCTCCTCCTCCTCCGCATCCTCCAGCTCCACGTCCGGGTCCAGATCTGGATCGCTCCCTGAGGCAGATTCGTCTGACATGGCTCCCAGAGGTCCTCAGTGGGCATTACCGACTCATGGTCCACTGCAGGGGTCCTGGAAGGACAAGAGGCATCAGAATCACTAGGGGCTTCACTTAGCACCATGAATCTTTCAAAGAGACAATGCCAAAGATGAATTCCCTGAAGCTTTTCTAAGCAGGGCAAGCTAACCATACTTGAATTCCAACCTTCCCCACAAGTACACTGATCCTGAAATATGTTTTGGTGAATTCTCTGCCTGGCTCAAGCCTCTCTTACTTGCTTGGAGAAGTAAACATATTAGCGAACAAACAAAAATACTATAAATCTCAGAATCCGTATTTGTTCACTTCTTTATATATCAATTACTTCCTGAGAACCAACTCTTCACATATTTACATATATATGTATACACATTAACAAGCACTATACTAAACTTCACACAGTAAAAAGCAAAACAAAGCATGTTAGAGTGTGTTAGGAGAAACAATAGGATGTATATGCCAGGAGGAACTGGTAGTTTGTTTATATGTGGTTAGGGGATATCCCAGAGAAGTTTTCACTGACCTGAGGCCAGAAGGAAAAGGAGCCACAGAGACATCAGGAGAGAGTGTTTCAGGCAGAGGGAGCAGCAAGGGCAGACTCCTATAGTGGCAGTGCTTAGGGAGTAGGGAGTGGGTACTGCTTGGTAGCAGGGTGGTCTCATGCCTTGGAGCACTACAAGTAAGTTAGCCCACTCTCCAATCACCTAAAGGAAAAGCTTCCATTGGGCAGTTGGTTATTCACCACTCTGTCACTCCCCCAAACACATGGACAGCCTGAGGCTCTCCTGGCTCAGAATGTGCCCGTGCCCATCTCTACTCTCAGGCTCTGCCCTACCTCTTGGCTCAGTCCAGCTCCATTGCTTCCAAGCAGTTTTTGTGAACTGCCCCAGCTTTCTAGGATCACATTCCCTCTTCTGAACTCTAGCAGTCATACTGACCACATTATCAACATTCACAGGAAGTTTTTATATGGGCCACCTAGCAAAGCAGGAAGCCTCCTGACCAACTACTCAGAGCCTGACAGAGTAGTAAGGCAGGGGTTTAATTAGGAGTTGTTTCTTTGTACCCTTGAGCTAAAAGCATGTCCAATTCATTCACTTACATTCACCCCCTCATTTGCCAACCTGCTCTACTGTATCTACTATGCGTCAGGCACTGTGTTATCTGCATTTCTGTCTGTATGCGTCTTGCTCCACTTAACTATAAATGACTATAAAGATTGTTTTTCTTGAGGGGGAAAAAAAAAACCCCAAACAAGTAAAGAGAAAGCTAGATGGAAAATTCTATGATAAAGCAAATATAGTAAAATGTTATCATGAACAGTCACTGGCCAATTTCTGTATATTTCAAAATTTTCACAATGAAATGGGGTAAGGCACAAGATAAATAATCTTTTACAAGACAAACTGCTGCAGACAACCACATCAACAATCAGGACATCCTAAAATGCCTCCCATCTCTAAAAATAAAAACCAAAACACAAGTCTCCAATTATTCAACACAAAAACTATTACAGACCTAAAATCTCATAAGATCCAGAAACAACTTGAAGGCGAGCTTCTATGTTCACCTGAAACAGAAATAGAAACAAAATGAAGCAAACTAGATCCTTTAGCACTTTAGAAAACTAGAACTGAAGTTTAAGACTGTTCAGTTAAAAGCCACAGAAATTAAGAAAGTGTATGATCCTGATGGGTCATGTACTCAGTCTCTCAAAATACGAAAACAAAGAACAGCTGTGAAATGATTTAGTATAAAATTTAAATGTTTGTATTAATAATGCACTTCCAAAAACATCTACAAAGTGCACAGGGAAGAAAAGTGATCCACAAATACTAATTAATATAACTAATGCTGAGCTACCACGCACTGAGTGAGAAAATTGAGTCCAAATCTTTAGCTCATTAGTTTTTAAAAAGGAACTAGTAAATCAAATAATAGCAGCTTTGAAGTGAAATCTATTTCTGAACACAGCATGATGATTCATTAGCAACTACTAAGTGTTCAGAAGTCAAAGTTTGTAAAGTAACTTTCTAAGCCCTCTGTTTCATCCTGACTGCTTGAACTAAGTTTTTTCACTTTCAGTGTGATTAGAGTAACTTTAGAAAACAATTTTTTGCGGGGTGGTTCCCAAGTTATATTTGAGAACTCATGGAAAATATTCCAGATAATGAGCTTTCATCTTCTTCCTCCACTTCTTCATACTAGTTAATCTGGAAGTAACTCTTTCCTGTTAGCAACTAAGCACAACTAATCACATAGATTATTCTTCTTATGTATTATTATTCTTCTTTTTTGGTGAGATAGTTCAAATACCTTTTGGGAAAAGTCACCTCAGAAGTTATGGTTGCTCTTGCGCCATTCAATGGTCACAACCCCCACCAATATTCCAGGCCATCTCATTCATTTTGAGTCTTTTCTTCAATAGCTAAAAATTGGTAGGTCAAGGGTGAACCTCAGAGCCTTTTATTTTTTTTTTTGCCCCCCTTCACTACAAGTTTTTTCATGGGGCACCATGGTGGCAACAGACAATAGGGTACATAACAATTTTTAATCAGGAAGTACCTTTACATAATCTGAATGACTGTCACTTTAGAGAAGAAACTGTTTAGCGGTGAAAGAGTGACAATCACTTATTTGTGAACAGTAACAAGGAAAAGCCACCTGCAAACCCTCAGTTAACATCTTCCAAAAAATTTCAGTCCCAAGCTCCCAATAGAAGCAAGTATCAGATAAATATCCCAAACCACATATATATATATATTTTTTAAGATTTTTATTTATTTATGAATACAAGAACTGGGGTACAGGCCGAAAGTGCTGGGGGTGGGGTGAGAAGATTCACCAGAGATAGAATGGGGAATAGAACAGGCAGATCGACTGAAATACACTGCTGAGGGGAGCAGTGGGCAACACAGGAGAGGTCTGCTGCACCATGTGGGTAGCTCCCTGGCCAGGGATCAAACTCTTGCTGTAGTGGCTGCAGATAGCTTCATAGGTTGTGTCTTAACCCCTTGCGCCAAGGGGGGCCCCTAAAACCACACATATTATTAGAAATGGATCCAGTCCCCTACTAAAACATTTTAACAACAGAGGTCACTTTAAAATACTTCCTAGACTGTAAGATGCCCACAACAGAGAAGAAATTGGGATTCCTAAAATCCCATCAAATTTGTTTTTCTTTCCCTCCCTTCCACAAGCCATGAAATTTCTTTACAGAGATAACACAAAGAAATCTCTTCTTAGTTCTTTACACACATACCAACTACTTAAGGGATAGGACTTGCTGTTTGTTACTAATGTTCAGAAAAGCAAAAAGGAGAAAATGGCAGGTGGAAAGCTGGTCTGGGGGCACAGCAGCACAATTACATTCTGTCTCGGTCTGTCAAGGGGCTCATCCGCACATACAGATACTTTCCTTTCAGAACACAGGGAAGGCAGCCCTGGTTCAAGAAGTTAGCCCTTAGAACTATTAGCAAACATGAGGAAAAGGCTGATAAAAAAAAAATGCATCTCCCCCAATTGCTCCACGTTTCAAGTAAAACACTGCCTCAATCCTCAGGGAAGAGCAGTTCTGCCTCCAGCACACATGTAAAGGAGGAGGGTGATTGTGGGTGTGCTGTACCATAACGAGGACCTGTATTGCTACAAAGCAAATTCTAGGAATCAAATTCTATTTCAATGGAACTGGAGAACTAGTTATTAAAAGAAACTCTAAAGATAACCACTATGGGGCCTCCCTGGTGGCGCAAGGAGTTAAACACCACACTACGAGGCAATCCACAGCTTCTGCAGCACGAGTTCGATCCCCGGCCAGCCAGGGAGCAATGCACATGGTGCAGCAGACCTCTCCTAACTCACCCGCTGCTCCCCTCAGCAGTGTACTTCAGTCAATCTGCCTGTTCTGTTCCCCACTCTGTCTCTGGTGAATCCTCTTACCCCCCCCACATCTCTGGCCTGTACCCAGCTCTTGTATGCATAAATAAATAAAAATCTTAAAAAAAAAAAGAGAGAGAGAGAACCACTATGAACAGCAAACATTTAATCGTAAGTACATGTTAATAAATCTACAGTTTATTATATTCAATTTGCTAAAAGGAGGCTGTAATGATAGAGAAACCCACAGTCTATCCCAACCAAACCTCTCATTGTAATCTTTTTTTTTTTTTTAGAGGCATTTTTTTTTATTTATTTATTTAGTTTGTTTGTTTATACATGCACTGGGTATAGTCAGAAGCGCGGGAGGGTGAGAGAATTCACCAGAGTCAGAGCGGGGAGCAGAGCAGGCAGAAGGACCGAAGTACACTGCTGAGGGGAGCAGCGGGCGGCAGGAGAGGTCTGCGCGCCATGTGGGACCCTCCTCTGGTGGCCGGGGAGCAGCCGGGGATCGAACCGGCGCCTCAGCCGCGGGCAGCTTCGCAACCCAGCGCTCAACCGCTGCGCCACCTGGGAGGCCCTCTCATTGTAATCTTGAGAATGAAGGGAGAGGTTCTGCTGCCCTGCTAAGTTCAAAGACAACACTGGGTCTCCCTGGTGGTGCAAGGGGTTAAGCACCGCACTACGAAGCAATCCGCAGCCTCTACAGCACAAGTTCAATCCCCAGCCAGCCAGGGAACAACCCACATGGCGAGGCAGACCTCTCCTGTCTCATCCGCTGCTCCCCTCAGCAGTGCATTTCGGTCAATCCGCCTATTCTGTGCCCCACTGTCTCTGGTGAATCCACCTCCTGCATCTCTGGCCTATATCCCAGCTCTTGTATGCATAAATAAATAAATCTTTTTTTAAAAAATGAAAGCATTGAGGGCCTCCCCGGTGGTGCAGCAGGTTGAGCGCTGTGCTGTGAAGCTGTCTGCAGCCTCCGCAGCATGGGTTCAATTCCCCGTCAGGCAGGGAGATCCCCACATGGCATGGCAGACCTCTCCTGTCTCGCCCACCGCTCCCCTCAGCAGTGTCTTCGGTCTGTCTACCTGTTCTGCTCTCCGCTCTATCTCTGGTGAATTCTCTCACTCTCCTGTGCCTCTGATCTGAACCCCAATTCTTGTATAAATAAATAATTTTTTTTAAAAAAAAAGCATTGAGAAATCCAGAAACAAAGAAAACCTTTAAAGAAAAAGAAAAAAAAAGACAACACCACCTCTATAGCACAATACCTGGCGAAGAATCAGTGAATTAATTATGTGGGCACAGCCCTCAGACACACCCTGGGGGAAGACTACACAGGGGAAAACACACACACACACACACACACACACACACACACACACACACACACAAGCAGAGTTTTTGTTCACAAAGCAGACCATGCTTGGAAAGTCCACTTTGAAATAAAAACACATGCTCACATACTGCCTCACCACTGAGGAGCAGCCTATACAATTTCAGAGACCTTTTTTGTGGTTCTCAGCAGCATCCTCATACTGCCTTTGATACAAAAGAATCTGTTCCAAACAGTCATGTCCTCATTAATTTTGGTGACTTAAGTGGTATTAAATTTCTTCAATGATTGCTAATCAATTTCATAGCAAGTGCCATTCATGCATTCCCCCCCCCCACCATTAAAAATAAAACAAAACCATGTATTTACTCTAATTAACAAGGGAAAAAGTTTTTTTAAGGCATCAAAACATTTGGCCCAAAGTTTTGGGCTGTACCTTTTCAAGGAAACTCATTAAAGAATTTATAATTCAAAGCGGGGTGGGGGGGGAGTAGCCCATATATATCACACTCACTGTGTGTCCACAGGGTTCTTCCGGTCTGCTGAGAGAACCACTGTAGGTCTTTAAAGTTATTTCTAAACACCTTTCCTGTGCAAGACAAAGATCCAGGGTGTATACTTCAAACTTCCATATGACCCAAATGACCTTAGATCAGTATGTCAGTTACTTAAAAACACATTTAATACACACAAAGCAGCACAGAATTCAAAAAACCAACACAACTCAAAATATCTGTTTGGAAATCTAATGAGAGTTCTGGCAATTTGGAACTTAAAATGGGATTAAAAAAAAAAAAAAAAAGTGGACTTCAGACTACAAGGAGCACAGCCACAGTAGATACTCTACCCAAAAGATAATGTAGCAGCACCAGGCCCAGGACCTCAGCATGAAGCACAGGAGAAGCACTGAAGCCAAGTTTATAAAATAGGTCAAGAAACCTAAATTCTGACCATAACCCCGGAAAATCAGCCACATGACCTTGAACAAGTTAGTTTTCCCTCAGTTTCTATTACCCCCTTTTATTCCAGTCTGAGAGAAATGGACCTGATTTCATCTTCAAGATCTCTTCAAGATTCAGAGACAGCATTTTTAAAGGATGGTCCAGATACCCCGATAGGCCGTTGAGATTAAAATCATGCATGAGCTAAACAGCCCTTCAAAGTGCAAGAGATTTTAATGCAACAAAGTGCAATGGATTTTAATGCAACATAATATAAAAAGTTCCCTGATGTGGTTTCAAAATCAGTATAACAATTAACCTTGAGGGCCTCCCCGGTGGCGCAGCGGTTGAGCGCTGGGTTGCGAAGCTGCCCGCAGGTTCTACAGCGCCAGTTCGACCCCTGGCTGCTCCCCG